GTGATACCTCAACATCTTCAAGCAGCGAGGAAAAGCGTAGACGTTGATAACATTATTTATACGTACAATCCAATAAAAAAGGATTCAAGTGACAGAATGATAATCAATAGCATATAAAAACATGATGAAATATTTCTTGACACTTTTTTAAGTTGGTCTCGGGAATGTAGTCATTTCCTCTAACATTAGCAAAAGTCAATCTTGACTTCATCCTGTTCCAGATTACAGGATATAGGTCACTGCTGCACATCACTATATATGCGACTATTTGAATACTAGGTACTCATGTTACCTCAGCGATCGGAAAATTATGTCATTTTGCTTGCTAAAAAGGGAAACGAAGTCTAAAAAAGAGATTAGTGTTTCAAAGTTTGTAATGAGAAACCTATGTTCATCATCTTCTTTGCTCTCATCATTAACTATTATATGAAGTTTCTCAAACTTTGAATGTTATCCTGGACATCTATTTTAGTCATTTTGGAACTCCCTGTATCGGAAATCATTGTGCACAAAAGTGAGCTCTTCTGACACTTCGCTTCCTAAGGTTTTTTAAAATTTGTTAGAGTCATGACTTTTGGGAAAAGGAAGAACAAATCTTGTAAATCTCTTCTGATTGGTACACAAATTCTTGACATATCTTGAATCTTGCAGTTCGTGTTCATCCCTAATTTTGATCTTTATATTCCAGACTATTTCAATATTGCATCAAGCTCTAAAACAATCTTCGGAATGAATTTTTACAAGACCTGTTTCCTACTTGTCCTCATCGTCGTGTACGTCAATGCAGTAGCCATGGAAGAGTTTGCTCCTGAGGAAGAGTGCGTTCTTACTTGAACTAAATATCCAATTGAGATATGAAGTTGTTCTTTTTCAGAAGTGCTTCAAGCCCTCGCGTGAAGAGACAATGGGGTTGGGGTGGCATGGGCTGGGGAGGCATGGGCGGCTGGGGATGGCGACGACCTTGGGGAGGTTACTATGGAGGTTGGGGAAGGGGCTGGTGGTGATAGCGTTGATCCACACACAGCCTACAAGAATTTTTGAAACGTGTTTTCTAGTGTACATTGTTTTGATTTCTTGAAATAAATGGTTTTTTTTACTATGTTCGGTACAAGTAAAAACAGGGTCTTTTTAAATTTTCACTTTACAGTGCTGAAGGTAACGGGGAAGCGTTATTAGCTTATCGTCACAGCGACGCACTTGCGCATTGTTTTTTCAGCTGGTTGACGCTTCCTCCAGGGGTGGTAGTAATCTCCCAAATTTGTCACAACAAGAACGAGCCATACTCGTGACAGCTCCCAACATGACTTGAGCTAACGAGCATGGCGTGAAGTTTTCCTGTAGGTTTGAGGATATACGCAAAACTTGCACTGCGCACGGCCATCGAACCTGCGTTGAACGAAAGTCAATGCCGCTCGTTACCACAGCACTATCAGTACCGATATTTCAGTGCAAATATGAAAGCAACGCTCATGCAAGAAGTGTACTGTTCGAGCCATACTGAATAGAACAAGGGCTATGAAGTGGAATACTAGAGACCCGAAATGTTAAGAGATTTGTTCCTTTAACCCTTTTGTAATTAGCTTGTTCAGGCGTGTTTAGTTTCTATTAAATTCAAGACATCTCTTTTGAGGTTTCAACCCTTATTTTGACCTCAATCTCCACCAACCATTTTCCTTCCTCATTCCTCGGTTTTAAAATCTGTCTTATTAACTCTTTAAAAAAACTTTTGCACCATATAGTTGGAACCATGTCGCTAGATTTTTTCTGGAAAAGATTTCTATGCCAAAAAACGCATCTTATTTAAAAGGAGGAATGACTTTTTCTACATATTTAAGGAGAATTTTAAAGATTAACTGTTTGGCTGAAATTTTAAGAGAGTGGGCTGCGTTGACTTGACCTATTTGATCTAC